GCGAAATGACACAATTTATTTAAAAATTACGCCCTTGTTTGTGTGGACAAATATTGACGTGTTTGGTTTATGATAATGGCAACTGAGCATCGAGTAGACCGGCGGACTAGCGACAGGTTACCTGTACATTATTTAATATTTGCCATGCCAATGTTAACAATACAATATTTGTCGAGTATGCTCCTATTTTAAATTATTTACGTACTTTTAATCAAAAGCAAATTTGGAGATCAAACATTTGGAAGCTCACAAATCGGTGTGCACCGATCGAGTGATTGTCTTAATGAATTTATTTGTATTGACTCGTTACTTTGTTCGCTTCGATTGTGAAGTCGAACGGCAAACAATATCATGTTATTTGTGGTGGAACAACAAATTTGTAGCTTTAAATGCAAGCCTAACACGGTACACACTCACCGTGTGTGCTGAGACAATATGCGGGCGACTCCGGCGCGATCTTAAGCTGGGCGACAAAATGAATCTCGCGACTGATACGGACCAATTCAAACACAGTCAGCGCCATTTTGTTTTGACAAGCGTCGCGCTACCTCGACCGCTCCGCGCGAATATCAACTCAAATAACGGGATTTAGAGTCGTAATTTGTTTAACGAGTTTCTGGAGTAGAAACATTGGAAATTAAGGGTGGACCAGACACGATTCTGTTTGCAGTCTAACGTGGTCCCTGGACGAAGTTACAAATATTTGACGTGTCAATTTTGTGAATGTTGACCGAGAATTGCGGTTAATATTCCCAACTCGGACTGGCCTGTGCGCGGCCGCTCTTTAATTAAATGACTAGAACAGTCAAATTGTTGACTCTCTTTTGTCGGATTATGATATATTCGGTGATTACATTGGATTCGTAAATTAATTAGTCATTTAGGCTGAATCGAGGCCGGCTCCGAATTAGCTTTGACTTTGTCTTTATCTAATTAGGTCAACATATTACTTTACAAAGTGAATAATTAGATTATATATAGATTCAGGGCATTATCTATAGGTAAACATTTTAATAAAATAGAATTGCATTTCACACGAGACCTCCAATGTTCCAATCCTAAAAGTTTGACTACCCGCAAATTATAATGCAGGTAGGTGAGTATGTTTTAGGTATCTATAATAAGATTTTTAATTAGGTCTTCATTTAATTAATCGAGATCCAATAGCAAAACGATAGGTAAAAACGTATACTACGACAAAGTAAAGGGATTATTTATAATTAGGACCAATTACGACGAACACGACGTCTTTAAAGTCGTAAACAGTTTATAATTATGAGTTATCGCTTACGAGCACCATCCAAGATTCAGCAATTCCGCAACAATAGCAAACAATTGTTAAAACGTAACAGCTCGTTAGGGCATATTGCTCGTTACCGCTATTTATTTTCGAGTGGCAACATCGAAGAGTCCATAAACAAAAAAACACTCCGCGACTGTTTTCAATGACAACAATGCAGAGTGCGTAGTGTTAAGAGAGAGGTTGGAGTAGGCACTCACTTTTCGCGACATAGGTATCAGGGGCCCGGTATTTTCATTGTGTGCTTTTAATTTTGAGTGCGCGAACTAGCTAGCTCTCCCGGGAGGTTTGTTTGCGAGGGTAATATTTGCTTCCGCTGTATAATTCAGCCGCCATATTTGCCAAAGAGCAATCGTTTTAATATCGTCAGGGCATCACATTAGGGATACTCTTTGTTTAATGGATTAATTTTTCAATTTTAATTAGCTAGGAGCGAAATGGTTGAACGTGGTGCCTAGCATTGCGTTAAGCGAGACGGGTCCTCGGTTCGGCCCATCAGATAGGGCACATCATAAATATCATCATCATAAATCGGTTTAAATAAAACACTTTAACGGTTTAAAACGCGATATATTAGTTAAACTATTTGAAAATGATTTTTAAATTCGGCCCGACGTTTCGGATGCTTTGCAGCAGTGTCTCCCCGTGACCACGGCTGCTGTGTGTGTGTTTTATTTAAATGTGTTCTACTCGCGTAAACTGCTTTAGACAGTATCATATAACCGATCAGTAAAATGGACACACAAATGTGTTCGCCCATAGGGTGGAAAATACCTTAAAGTTTGACGCACTTAACGTTGCCTAAGCAATTTAATAATAAATATAATATGGCATGGCATTTGCAATTACAGTGTATTTTGTTGGAGGCTCTTGTGCTTTCTTTGAACTCACCCTATTGCGAAGGTTGTGTTACTACTAAGTATTGTGCAGTTATGTTTTGTAAACAGACTAAGTTGAATAATAATTAATTTTTTTCCTAACAATAACTTCGGTCGTTGAAAGTTTGATCTGGCAATATGGTTACTGGGTAGGGTTAGACTGTGGATGCCGGTTTAAGTTCCGCCCGCCGATATTTTTTGAATCTAAAATCGGTTTTTCATTTAGTTGTTAGAAAATTAAAAGTCGGACAATAATATTAAATGGGTATCTTATGTACCTATTTAACATATAATTTTCTTACCTTAACTTTATATTTATACCAGTTTCAAAATTTAAAGGTAGACGTTAGAGTTGAATATACGTGGATAATTAAAACTATACTTTCAGATTTTATATAGAAAACATGATTTACAAGTGGTATACAGCCAGAACGCTTAAAATAATAAAACTATTTTATCTATTGAACACACTCATTTAAATTTCTTTAGACTAAAAACTTTCATTAAGGTTTTATGTGAATTGCGTTCTGACAATACTTTAACTCAGAAAAGTAATCATATTTTAATTTAATTTTAAAAAATGATTATTTTTCGGGGTTAATCATTGTTTTTTTATTTAAATGAGTACTTTTGAATACAAGTAGCGCTATCTATGAGTACAATTGAAAATTACACATTATTAGTGACAGCGACATCTAGTGAAAATCTATTGCAGTTCGCTGTGTCCACGTTATTTCTTGAGTTATTTTCTGAAGTCTTCGATCAATATAATATTATCGAACTGAAGACAATTACTTAGATGAATTATGGATCAAATAAACTAAGGATTAAAATAAACTAATTTGTTTTGTTATTGAAACTATAAATTTAATTTTGCGCTCCTAAAATACAAATCTGGTACTTACACGTATAATGAAGGGAACGCTAATGGGTATAGCTTTCTTAAATCTATACCAATATTATAAAGCTGAAGAGTTTGTTTGTTTGAACGCGCTTATCCCAGGAATTCTAATTTAAAAAAAACTCTAAAATAATGTATAACAACACGCGACGACTAATAGGAGCGAAGATATAATGGAAAATGTGAAAATTACGCACGCTGCAAATACGGTTTGTATTATGCAAGTACTTTGAATTATGTAAAAAATGTCCAGGACAGTATAGCGGAGACCAAGTCGCGGGTTAGTCATCAAAAAATAAAATAAACCCTATAGCAATGAAACATTACTTTTATTAAAATAATAATTCAAATTAATCAAATCAAAAAGATAACTTACATATTAATTAGAGTTTCTGCATTAAATAAGACGCACTTAACTTATATCTAGAACTTAATTATGAATATAATTTTTTCATGTAATAATCAATCCTTTTCTCATGCAAATAAGACATTCTTAAAAAAAATCTAATTAGATTAGGGATAACTATCCCTGCAATAAATATTACACATTAAAGTTTGGAAAGAGACAAATATATTTTGATATAGTGTTATCTCTGTTATACGCTAGTATGAAGTTTTGTTCTAGTCCAAACAAAAGAAGGCATTCATTGAAATTATTTATATGCAATATTTATTGCAGGGCACTTAAATGCAGTAAAATAAATAAAACACACAATTTTTACATAATTATTGAAATAATAGCATGAGTGATACCATATTATAAATATTCCGATCTTGTTTTAAAGTATCCTAGCCTTGAGTGATATAAAAATATGGCAACATTATTATCTAGAATCGGAACGACAGTACTTTGTACTCTTACACTAAAACTTTTTAGTCAGCATTAAAAATGGAGTCATATTTATAATAATTGAAATGTTAATAAACTTGTTAAAATAGGCACGCATAATATAAGTAAGTTTTTACTCGATTTTTGTGACACAATTTATATTGCACCTTGATTTGATTGTTTCAATTCAAAACATGTATTTTATTTTATATTTACGCGAGTTTTAAACATTAGATAAAGGTCGAAACATATTAAACTATTAATCTATTTATAAAAACAACATGACGCTGCTTTCATGAGTTTCAGAGTCAAGTTTATGTGGTTTCAGAGTCAAGACGACCGTCCGAAACGCCCGCCATAGTTACATTAAATAAAAATTAATATAACTAATCTATTTCGCTTTTCAAACCGTTAAACGTGTTTTATTTCAATGTGTGCTACTCGCAGGCATTACCTAAATATTTCTAAGGATATGTTTTGAAATGAAACATTCGTATTGGTCCCACTTTAGTATTTAGATTATCGTTTCCCTATTGACGTATTAGTCTTAGATTAACATTATAACTTAGACCTACGCTACTCTTAAAAAAATAACCCATAAGAAGAACCAGTACTATTAGTGACCGATATATTTAAACGCAAGATTGAAGAAGAAATTGTTAAATTCAAATATGAAAACTGTACACTAGCATGGAAATAAATAGATATAAGCATACAATATTATGTCTATCTAATAATAATTGGACATCAACATAAATCTGTTGTGTTAGCAATTGAGTGTGAGTCGAAATGTCTTTAAAGCAACTTAATTGACATATGTATATGGTTCATACACTCAATTTAGTCATAGACACTGAATATTTTTAATCCATAACTACAGTGTTTTGACATGGCAATGTTTTGTTCATTGGACGGTAATAATTGTACAGTTCTCCCTAACGAAAGATAAGTGTCACCAATTTTGAACATTAAATAAAAAGAAGGAATTAAATAATAGAAGACTATTAGATCTACTTTTGACATCATATAAAAAAATATTCACAAACTCTTTGCTTATATTCTGTTATTAATAGAGTATTGATTACCGGATTCCTATTCAACGATTAAGTCAAATTCTTCTATGTCTTCGCACATGGAGTTGAAACCGGCCGCCCAGTTTTCCACCTCCTTTTCCTGAAATATAAAAATTTATGAGGTATATTTCTGTTAAATAAGCTGATTTAATTTATAATTTAACGTTTAATCTATACTATAATATAAAGCTGAAGAGTTTCTATCTTTTAAGTAAGTAAGTAATGTAAGTTTAATTTCAGTTTTGATGTTGGATAACACATAGTGTATACAGTTAACTTGTAAATAAATAGTAAGTAGTATAAATTTTATATGTAAGTAATATTATATAAGCTATATGCATTAGTTGCAATGTTATTTTAAAGAGAATGTATATTCTTCTTGTAATAAATTTCTTTAAATCTAAACTTACTACTATATTACATATTTTGAACTCCGACCGGATGTTACAGAGGGTACTACTCGAGGTCACGAAGGTTCATTTAAAACCGTTAAAATTGTTTAATCAAATGTGTACCATTAACTAAGCTACAGAGAAAACTACATACCTCTTTCTTTGACAACTTTCCTTTTTTCGTTATCTTTTTTCTAACTTGCCTCTTGGGCTTCACAATTGGCAGTTTAAAAGACAGGTCTTCCAGATGATCCTCATCAGTGGAGCCCTGCTCCTCATCATTCATTGATGCATCACTATCTGACATAGAATTCTGTCGGAATGTCACTTTTCTTGGTTTGCTGTAACTCTTACGGGTGGGCTGAAATATAATAGAGAAAATATTTATTATGCTGCTTTAAAACCTTCCCCTCTGTAGCCATATGGTTCAAGGTATTGCCTAGCATTGCGTTAAGCGCTAGAGATCCGGGGTTCGAATCCCAGGGAAACATAAAATTGTTTCGGTCAGGGAGGGCACCAACTACTTTTTAAATACTCAGGGGTACTGTGTAATGGACAACAAAATTGTACACTTGAGCAACATAACCTTTTATAGTATTGAATTTATAAAGATTTCAAATTAAATATATGCATGTATATTAATAAATTAGTACATAGAAATAGTATATTTTTAATAAGAGACATCAAAAATGTTTACCCTTGTCCTAATACTAAGTAACATAGGATTTTATATTTATTAACTGTATACATAGTACATACTTGATGATAAAGGTGTATTAAATCCAGATCCTCAAATAAGTGTACAGACTCGGCATCTTCGTTCACAGCATTTAAATCTGTTGTTGCTGGCGCAGATTCCGTTTCCACAAACGCATGAGGCTCCAGCCCAGATTTGGGACCTTCAATGTCCTTCAAATTATCTGAATTAAGCACAGGTTTGGTTCTAGAAATCGGTATAGCTGCTCTAGATGGACCCTTGTCACCGTTAATCTCTTGTAAAACAGCTCTAGAACGAGTCCGAACACCCCGTCTCCATTTATCGTTTTTAGCTGGAGAAATGTTTTCTTGATTGCTATCTTCTGTTTCGTCAAAGCCGAAGAATGTACCATTTTGTTTCTTTGATGTAGAGTGCATATTCTCATTACTACTATTAAAGTGATTTAAGTTTGGGCGTTTTGGAATATTCTTTGTAGGAGAAACCATTAATGAATGGTGGGTAACATCTTCAAATAGTGAATTGGCTTTAACAGGAGTCGAGTTCTTTTTCGTTTTAAAACTCTTGTCAGCAATATCTTTAATAAAGGATGTGATACTTGTCTGTCTCAAACTTGTGTCTTTTGTGAATGTTTCATTAACATCTGGAACAATATTTGTATAGACATGCTTTCGAGAGCTGTCAATGTTGATAAATGAACTCTCCACTGCTGGAGTCATATTAGGTTTGACATAGGTATTGACTTGCCATTTTATAGGTAAGCTACCAAATTCAACTCGCCATGGACTGGCTAATGGATGTCTTAGTGATTTGTTCATGCTACTACTTGCTATGGGCTCGTCAAAGAAGCTTAAATTATCCTTTAAGTTCAATGGATCGTCATTGTTTACTTGTCGATTTTCAGTAGGCAGTACACTGTGATTAGATGTGATATTAGGAGTCTGTGGTAAGTCACGTAGTGGTGAATTTACTGGAGAGTAATCAATAGCACGATGATCAGAAACTTGGAGATCTTGAACAATATCTTCAATTCTTACTGAATTGTAATTGTTAGCGCATGGGGCACTTGTATTTACTGTATTTGTATTACTAGTGTTGCATACAAGATCAGTACTTGCATTTGTATCCTTAGATTTTTGATTTATAACTTCAGTACTCTTTGTACTTGCACTATTTTTGATAGTCTGTGGTTCTAAATTTACTTGTAACTGCTTATTATTGGGAGGATTTGATGCAACAGCATTTTTTAATAGAGCCAGCGCTTTTGCCACATTCTTTTCATATACTGCTTTAAATGGTTTAGGTTTTGTCTGAGTTTTCTTAGCAGTTCTCTTTCTTTTCTTTTTTTGCGGTGGTGGTTCTTCATTAGGATCATATGTGAACTCATAAGGGTCAACCTTATTTGAGTTTCTCTTCAGTGACTTCTTTTCGTCAAGTTTAAATGTTGTATTGTTGTAAACTATTTTCCTTTTTCTTATAGATTCCACTTGTTTTTCAAAGCACTTATCAATTTGCAATTGTTTCTTGCCATTATTATTAGTGTCTGGTGATGGCTTGTTTTTGTTTGTCTTTGATGTTTTCTCTTTACCTTTAGTTGAATAATCCTGATTTTTGTCTGGCTTAGAGAGATGTGTTATCGGTGTTTTATTGGGTACTGGTGTGCTAGCACTTAATGGCAATGGGGTAAATTTATTAGGACTTATTAAATGCCCATCTTGTTTAGATGGCAACTTAGAGATTCTTTTCGGTCGAGATTTCAATATGCTGTTTTCAACAGTCTTGGAAGCAGTTTTCACTGAGTGCACTTTTTTGGGTGGTAACTTCTTTTTAACTTGCTTGATAGGGGTATCATTTGTTGAAGACTGTTCATGATTGCTACTAGATAAACTAATCAATATAGGGTTTTCAGCGAAACGGATTGGAATTTTCCTTACGCGTCGTTGTCTAGGTTTTTCTTCATTATTTTCGACACTTTTATTCACTGTTTTTGAAGCCTTTATAGGGGTTGTTAAGTTGATATTATCATCGGAAGCAGAGTTCGTTTTATCAGCTAGGGCCTTCCTGGGTGGCCTTTTAGTAATTCCTCTTGGTTTTACTGCCACTTTATTTGAAATTCGAACATTTTCCTTTGATTCCTTTAATGTTTTGGTTCCCCGAGTTTTTGGCGGCATTGTGTCAAACCAAGCTTTTGAACCATCACATCCAACTTAACTTAAACAAATAATGGTACCAGTGAGCAATAATGTTACAAGAATCTCATGTCACTATTTTAAACTAATAGTTGCGCACTTGTAATAGGATAGTTTCTGTTTATAACACATAACAATGTTCGAAAGTTTCCACTTTTTTGCTTTTACTAGTGAATCTGACAATTGACAGTTATACAGATAGAAGTCTTATAAAAGATAAAAAGAGATTTTTATTTATCATTAAATATATTTTTAAGGTTAACAATAATTTACTTAAACAATATATTTATTTAATAGGAAATTTTTTTTATCTTCAGTTCAGTTTAAATGAGATGTGAGACTAACTTTGCAACGCTGATTATAAATCTTGACATAGTCTGTGTGTCTCGATACTTCTTTCAACCGACCGGCCAGGTAGCCGTTTTATTTCAAAATTAAAAAGATTGTTAGATAGCTGGATATTGAAGTTTCGTTTGAATATTTATCCGTTGTTATATTAAAATAACTAAAATTTCATCAACTTATCGTGAGTGTGTTCTTTTATTTGAAAAAATTGGATAAGGTTAGTAAGATTTGTAAAATATTTATTTAATGTAATCGCCTAATGTCAGCATCTTGCTGTAACATAAAAACATAGTCTGAAGATAGACTGTATCATTTTAATTTAAGTTGGTTGGTCTTGGAAAACAATACATACTCCGCAATATATTAGATACCATCCTAATGACCTAAATATGCTGTTAAAAATAAAATCTTACTACTATTTTCTTTGTTACAGTACGAAAACCAGCTCAACATCTGAAACCATGACCATATGAAATAATTAGAATACCTTTGCTCATTATTACATTACATAAATTGACAAAATGGTGGAAGTTGAAGCGAATAAACCCATTGACACTGTCCAGGTAGCCTTAAGGATAAGGCCACTGATGGAACAAGAGATTGAAAGGGGCTGTATTGAATGTATTGATGTGATAAGTGGGACACAACAAGTGCAAATAAAAGACTTAGCTTTTACATATAATTATGTTTTCCCACAGCATATCAACCAACAGGAGTTCTATGATACTTCTGTTAAAGGCCTTATAGGAAAGCTATTTCAGGGTTTGTATAAGCAATATAAATGAAGTATGTAAGTTTTCATAACTAAAGTTAGAGAGCCATAAAATAATTCAATTCTGCACTACATTGAATTAATTTAAATCAATTAAATTTAGATCAAGACACAAGCAAAAGCCTAAGAAGAAATCAATATTTGAGGAAAGAAATTTCTTCAGAAAACTTAAAAAATTGTTCACCTATTATATGAATTAATTTTATCTATCTCAGGTTACAATGTCACCATATTGGCATATGGACAAACTGGTTCTGGAAAGACTTACACCATGGGAACAAACTACTCTGGTTCAAATGGAGATTCCTCCAGATTAGGTACATCTTGTTTACTTACATTTTTTAGTTCATTTACCCTGTTTTAAACCCCCCATAAATCCATAATTTTATTAATTGAAGTCCTGCCTTTAATGATTCTCCCTTTAACAATTCCTTTTTTCAGGTGTGATACCTCAAGCTGTGGCAGATATATTTGACTTTATAGACGCACATGAAGATCAATTTATCTTCAAAGTGTCAGTGTCTTTTATGGAGTTGTACCAAGAGCAATGTTTTGACCTGCTGTCTGGAAAGGAGAGAAGTCATAGTATTATTGAGATTAGGGAAGACATTAACAAAGGTGTTATCTTGCCTGGTAAGCATTAACTAAAATACTTAATTACTACAGTGACAAAGTCAAAAATAGTTTATTCATATAGTACTAGGTACACTTATGATTGTCAAACCTGTCTAAAACTAGGCATAGAATAAACTGGCAAGAAATTCGCCAGCACTCCTTTCACATTTCAAAGGCATTAACTACAAGTTATTTTTTTTATTTACAGGTATAACAGAAGTGCCAGTGTCATCAACATCAGAAACTATGATGGCTCTAGAGAAGGGATCTGGGGGTCGTGTGACGGGTTCCACAGCTATGAATCAAGCCTCCAGTCGCAGTCATGCAGTCTTTACCATAGTCATCCTCAAGGAGAGTCGAAATAATAAGTATGTCCATTCTTGGATAGATTGGTCCATACAATTCTTGGATTTTAGTGATTTCATATATTTGATATCTAGATTGTTTAAAAAGTAAACACGTTTCCACCCTCTTTGCGCTGCAACACGTCCATAAAGACAGGTCGTAGTTAAATTAAACTTTACCTATATTTTTCGCGTTTTAAACTTCGGTATAATGTTTTATTTTAGTATATACTCTACTTGTTAAATTACCATGAGGGAGATGTCGTGAATAATAATAGCCAGGGTTTTTTCTGTAACATAAGAGTAATAAAAATTATACTTTTTACTATACATATAAAGTAACATTAGACAAAAACATTTCAATTTAAGGAATGTCGCTACATCGTCGAAATTCCACCTCGTCGACTTGGCTGGTTCCGAGCGCATTAAAAAGACGAAGGCTAGCGGTGAGCGGCTCAAAGAGGGAGTAAAGATTAACCAGGGCCTGTTGGCTCTAGGGAATGTTATTTCTGCGCTGGGGGATGGCACAAATAGAAGCTTTATTAGCTACAGAGACAGCAAGCTGACAAGGTTGTTACAGGGTAAGCCACAATACTTACTGAAGGACTTACTGAAAATCAGTTTCAAGTCAACAAAGGGCCTGATATAAACTGAGTAAGATCCTATTCTACTAGCAGCACACAAAATAATATTTATTAAAATAAAATAAATTTTTCTTTCTTTCAATAAATACTGATTAATTCATAACATAAACTAAATTCTCCATATAGAGGAAATAGGGTTTTACCTGATTAGGCATGTATGCTGCCCGATGGACACTTTTGCTGTGCGTTGCGTAATCTATGTTTACTTGGGGTTCGAACCCAGACTATATAAATAGACTTGGAATAGTTTCAAGTCTAATATATATAATTATCAAAATCTGTCAGTCTGTTTGAACGTAAGGGTAGCGCATACCTGAATTTTTCGCAGACATAACTTTTTCATGAAGGATAGGCAAACACTACGAACTAACGATGAAATGTATGTATGTAACTTGCAACCTTACCAATAAGAGATCTTTTTTGATCGTGAAATATCTATTTGAATTTTTATTGATTGATTAAAAGAAAAACAGGTGTCTATGACTATTCCACGTTACTCTGTCCATTATATATAATTAGCAATTTCTCGTAATTGAAGTATCCATTTAAATGTTACAGACAGTCTCGGTGGCAATTCTCTAACACTGATGGTGGCCTGCGTTAGTCCAGCGGACTACAACTTAGACGAAACCGTGTCGACTTTGCGGTACGCAGACAGAGCGAGACGAATCCGCAACAAACCTGTGATTAACCAGGACGCTAAAGCCGCGGAGATTGTTCGGTATGTTTCAGATATAGTAACATAAGAACATTTTTATAATACACTAGCTGTGCCCGCGACATCGCCCGCCTGTATAGTTATTTTGGGCATCATATTATTTATTTTACACACAACCTCCTCAGCTTTATAAATTTTAGCTGTTACTCACCCACTGTTTCTTCGCCCCTATTAGTTGCTGTGCGAGGCTGTAGCCTATAACCTTCTTCGTCGTGCTCTAGCCAACACAAAAATATTTTTTATTCCCGCCAGTAGAGAGATTAGCGCGTCCCAACAAACAAACTCTTTAGCTCTCTATATTAGTATAGAAATGTTTCGGACCATGTTGATACGCCGAAGGTGGAAAATAAGATTTTGGCTGGGTCATTGGACAGGTTGTTACTTCATTTCCTACCACCAACATGTATATTTTTCCTGGAACATGATGAACGTCTGGAAAATCTGGATATGGGTGGTCCCGAGCCACTATCGACGAATTAAAAGGCCGTGAAACATTGGCTGGAGTATTCTACCTTCCTTGTTTTTTTTAAACTTATTACTACCGACACCTAGTGTGGAGTGTAAATATAATACTTCAATTTTAAAGATTCCAAATGGTATTTTGTTAAATATTGAGTTTTTTTTTTAGATTGAACAACTTAGTCAACGACTTGAGGCTGCAACTTCTCGGCCAACTACCCACAATCAGCGAACAAAATAACGAACAGCTACAAGACGAATTGGACAAAGAAAAAGCAAGATATCAAGAGTTATTGAAGAAGCATAAACAAGTAACGGAGCACCTGAGCAACATGCTAATAGAAAACACGAATCTATGCGAGAAGGCACTTTTAGCTGAAGCGGCGAAGGATAAAATAGAGAAAAAATTAAACGAACTAACTGAGCAGTGCAACCAGACCATAGATAATCTAACCACAGATAAGGAAGACGACGAACTACAGAAGACGAACGTTATGGACTGTCTGAAGGAAATTAAGACAAGATTAGAAGATATGCAAGTGGTGAATAGGCAGACGAATGAGGAGTTGATAGATCATGAGATTAAGTTGTCGTATTTGAAAGATAGCAGTGACAACAATGACGATGAGGTTGTGCTGAGTGAGGATCAAGCCGTGTTGGAAGAGGAGAAGCGGGCTATGGGACATGTAAGTTTAATTATGACTAGATGTGTCCACGTCTTTGTCCGCGTGTATTACAGATTTTATTCAGCATTATTTAGTTCAATCTAGTGCCACCTACAGACACCCAGCAAAATCACCGTGATTTTTTAAATTACCATAAGTGTTTTGATTTATGAACTGATTGACATGAACCAAACACTAAATGTTGAGTTTACCACAATATATCACTGATAACCGCATCCAGATCAGATGAGCCGTTTCTGAGATAAGAGTGCACAAACAAATTTCCAAAAATCATTGTTTTGGATTCTATTGTGTAGATAATATTTTTTCATTATGTAGATGTACATACAGCCATCGTATACATTTTTATTAAAATATATAAATATAAAAGTTACCACAATTAAAATTATACTAAGTTTTCCCTCCAACTTCTATTTTTCAGGTGGCACTAAACCAAGAGTTACAAGAGCTAAACCGCGCAATGGCTATAAAGGCTAGCGTCGTACAAGCAATCCTCGCGAACAACAACGAGATGCTTAAGAACCACGAGAACCTTCGCGAGAACGAGGAGAGGATCACTCACCTGGAGAAGGAGAGGGATGAACTGATGCAGCAGCTGAAGAACTCTAGAGTAAATACTGTTGTAGCTTACGCGAGTAGTACACTTTTAAATGAAACACTTTAACGGTTTAAAACGCGATATATATTAGTTAGACTTATTTGAAAATGATTTTAACCATGGCCCGACGTTTTAGTTTGCAGTAGCCGTGGTCACGGGGAGAGGGAAAACCAATACTAATAAAAATAAAATAATTAATACAGATAAATATACTACCTAGCATAGATCTACCTAAGTTTATATTATGGGAGGTGACAGATAAACCACAAGTCAATTTAATGGAAGATGAAATACACCAGGCATATCACACATCTAAATATGATGTCCTGTCTACCTATTTTGATTGTGGATGTTTTGGAAAGCCTTAAACTGAAACATTAACTCGTGATTATGCGTATTCCTACCAGCATTTAATATTCAAATTTCTAAAACGTGTGTGTTGCGTGTTTTTAAAAAATATAAATTTATTTTGTAGGTCATATTTGAACCGATACATATCTGACCGCAGGACACGTTGATTATTAGCCCATTGTATTGTTTATATATATTGATCTCACTCTCTCCATCCCTTTCACACATATCCTCTTGCTCATTTCATTCCACACATTCTACATTATTATGTTTTTGCCCCAGTAATTATAATGATTCCTTCCCTTGTTATTTACAGAGTAAAGATCCATCTCACGACGAGAGACGCACAAAGGTTTCGAGCCTCGAAGCAGAGATCACAGACTTGAAGAAGAAATGCCAGCAGCAAGCCAATATAATTAAGATTAAAGAGAAGAACGAAGCAAAGATAGCTGCCCTTAACGCTGAGTTACAAGCTATGAAGGCTACAAAGGTTAAAAAACACTTAAAAGTTTATCAATATTATTATATACTGTCTATAGTTTACGCGAGTAGTACTCATTTAAATGAAACACTTTAACGGTTTTGAAACGCGATACAGTTAAAATTATTTTTAACTTCGCCCTGACGTTTCGGATGTTTTGCAGCAGCTGTGGTCACGGAGAAACTGCTAATATATCGCGTTTTAAACCATTAAATTGTTTTATTTAAATGTACATATTGATTTGATGTTTTTTTATAATATTCGTACGTAAAAATTACTTATTCTCCATTGGTGTATTTATTACACTCCCGTTACGTCTAGTCTACTCAATATCTGTTATGTGTATGTTTCTGTCTCTACAATATAAATGAATAGCTATTAATTTAAAATAGATTGTAAATAAAAAAAATACGACACGGGCAGGACTTCCCGGCAGGAACCGGCATCCACAGAGCAAGCTCTGTAAGCTGTATAATCGATTTTTAATGTATATAGTGCCATCATGTACGATAACATGTGAAAAATATTGAAGCTTTTATTTAATCCTTCCGGTCCTTCCCAGGTAAAAATAATCCGGCAAATGCGCGAAGAAAGCGAAAAGTTCCGCAAATGGAAGGCCGATAACGAGCGAGCGATGATCCGGTTGAAGAACGAGGACCGCAAGAGGGCCAACGCGATGGCCAAGATGGAGTCGCTGCACGCCAAGCAGCAGAACGTGCTCAAGCGCAAGATGGAGGAAGCCGTCGCTGTTAACAAGAGGCTTAAGGTACCTGTCTTGAATTGAAGTGATCTACAATATTTCTCATCAACATTGAGAACTAGACAATGGTTGTTGTAAACACTAAACACTTTGTCTTTCGCTTACCACGATAGGAGTACAAAGAAACTAATCATGATAAAAGTTAAGACAGTGATAGAGGGGGCATATACATATAGCAATAAATAAATAAATAATGTGCTCTTCATCTGTGAGCGGGGTTCGTGACTCAGACGGAGTTTCGATATTCCTGCCCACCATTTGATATTCAAATTTCCAGATGAACTCCAACTTGTTCCAGAAAAATTATGAATTGATTGGAAAAATGTGGGACCCGGTAGGGTTGGAACCCGCGACCTGTTGATTAGGAGCATTAAGTTGCTACCTTTACACCGACTAGACTAGACCGTCAAAATAAAGTGTACATAATCGTAATATTACTAATGTAATGTTAAAATTAGTATATGAGTATTATATATAACACAGTTTTTGCAATAACGAGCAAGCTTGCTACTAGATTAAGTAGTAAGCTCAAAGCAAGATAGAGAAGAAGCAAGGGTATTAATTTTTGGTGAAAATATGTATTCTTTTACATTTTAGGAGGCTCTAGAACGTCAGAAGCAAACAGCCATCAAACGAAATGCTAAAGGCAACGTGAAATCTGGAGCCGTCCAGCAGTACATTGAACAAGAGTTGGAGATGCACCTCAGTATCGTGGAAGCTGAGAAATCGCTTGAGGAACTCATGGAGTACAGGTTGGATAAAATCGTATCTTTACAGATTTGGTCAAACTGCGTTGAAATCGTTTTATACTTGATACTCGTCGACATAAAAATAAATAAAACACTTTAACGGTTTAAAACGCGATATGTATTAGTTAAACTTATTTCAAAATTATTTTAACTACGGCCCGACGCTTCGGATGCTTTGCAGCAGCCGTGGTCATGGGGATATTATTTTATATCGCGTTTTAAACCGTTAGTGTTTTTAAATGTGTACTACTCGCGTAAACTACAGACAGTATTTACTCGTTGACCGAGCAAACGAGCTTCTCGTTTAATTGACTAACTCGAGAAATAACAAACATATTTTTTTAAAATCTAATCACTAGCTGAGATTAGTGCGTTCAAACAAACAAACTCTTCAGTTTTATAATATTAGTGTAGATAGGCGGGTAATATAATGTTGAGGAACCGGATAGCATTTCTGTGTTTTGTTCTAGGGCCTGGATAACCGAGCAAATTGAATATCTCCGAAACAGTTCGGACAATGAGAGCAATCGCAAGAAACTTGAAGAGTTGGAAGACGATCTCGCGTTGCGTAAAGCACAAATATCCGATCTCCAGCAGAAGATATTGACAGCTGACCAAGGTAAAACAATTTTGAAATTACAAAAATAATGTCTTAATAACGATGCGGGATGATCGTCGGTCAAACGACAAATTTATCGAAATACCTTTATTGATGTTTAAAAAAGGTTTTTCAATTTAGCTAAATTAGCAATTAGGTTTACAAGTATAACCTAAAAATTAAAATATTCAAAATTATTCTTACCAGTTTAATCGGAGTATTTTTTTAATTCAGTATAAAAGTTTACAATAAATCCAACATTCTATGTTTGAGGTGGCTAGTCTCTTTCCAAATTAAAATTGTACCTATATTAAACAGTTTAACGGTTTAAAACGTGATATATATTAGTTAAACTTATTTGAAAATTATTTTAACTACGGCCTGACGCTTCGGATGCTTTGCATATCATAAATATCGCGTTTTCAACCGTTAGTTTTTTATTTAAATGTGTACTACTCGCGTAAATTACAGACAGTATCATATAATTGTACTTATATTACTATTTAGAAAACAAAGCCCGCACCCAATGGGACAAAATCCAGTCCATGCTCGAAGCGAAGGTAGCCCTTAAGTGCTTATTTGAGTTGCTCGTGGAAGCTAAGAGGGAGCTTCAGAACCAAAGTGAAAAAGGATTCCAGTCTAGATACGAAGAAATCAAAGACGAGTACGACAGACTCAAGGTGCAGTTTGAAGCCGCCGAAACGGAGTACCAGAGGCAGTTGGCGACTGTCAAGATGCAGAACGAAGAAAATGTTAGTATGCTCACTCTATAATTACTTTTGCTTTCTTAGTACAGATAGCATATAAATTATGGGACTCCTCCCACCCAGAGGCAGAGTTATGTTTTTTATAAATGTTTACAAGGAGGTCATGTTTCTTAAGTATTGTTATTATCTTTTACATTTAAATAAGACACTGCACGGTCTGAAACGCTAAGCCCACAGATGATGCAAAGCATCGTGCCGTAGTTATATTCGTTCTTCTAGTTCTAAATCGTTACAAGTGTTTTATTTAAATAAGTACATTTATTTTTGCTACATGTATCATTGGTTCAGGGCCAAAGCTTTGTACTTTATAACGCATTTCAGCAAACAAAAAATTTTGCTCAAAATTAGTATCTTTTTTCAGCTATGTGCGCTACTAGAACTTCAGCGCGGCTTAGTGGGTGGAGGCGAGCGCAGCGAAACCTGTCGCAACATGGAGACGGTACTACAGTTTCAGCAGGACAAGCTAGAACAGATGGAGCAGGAAAATGTAAGTTAACATAACGGCGTGTTAAAAAAATTCATCATAATGAACATCAAAATGTTACGCTTTGGGCACTGTTATTAATATTATTAAAGGTAAAGGTACGTTGCAATGAATCGTGTGCGAAAGATGGTGCAAAATTAATCCACTAACGATTGCGTTGAGTTTTTCATATTTCAAAACACAGAGGGCGTGTTACAAGCCTTAATAGGATCTTGCATTTTGTTCTCTGTCATGGTGATAAATGGTTAAACGTTCTTGGTCTTTGTAGAAGAAATTATTAGACGAGTTAGAGCAGATGCGAGCTGCGATTTCAAAGCCCAAGAAACGTAACAAGATCGTAGAGGCGGTCAAGAAAATCGAGTATGTGGAGCCAACTGATGAGGAGGACAATGATGATGAAGACAAAGATCCTGACTGGCGGGCCACGCCCCTCTCCAAGAGGATACAGGTTAGGCCAATTGTGAATTGATTATCACCCCGCCTAGTTATTTTGTTTTCAGACATGTGGAGAAATAAAAAATATTTTTAACGGCTTTACAGGCACAGCGCTCTCGTTTCACGATGAATTTCACTCAGTCGATAGAGAGTGACGGTTCAGAGCCCCGCAAACGGCGCAGTGATGGCTCGACGTCTTGTAACTGCCGCGGAAGCTGCAGCAACAAGCTGTGCCGCTGCGTCAGGACGGACAACGGCTGCAGCCAAGAATGTCGCTGCTCAGAGCAGCTTTGCAAAAATCGGCGTAATTACTCCGACAGTGATGATAAGGAGAACACGGTAAGTGATATGACATGCTTTTAACCGGATTTTTCCAGTTGTAACTAGGGTCGGAGTATCTTCAGAATCCCGACAAATCCCTCCCTCTAAATCTTCAGAGAAATACATATTTATATTCTGCCGCACCTTTTAATGTTGTGTGATTGTGTGTTTTTACAATAGTACAAAATTAATTCAATATGATTTTTTTTTACTATTATGTTAAAATTCATTTGTCTGAACGGCGACCTCAAAAACCTGACTTTAAATTTTTTCCAGATATTTTGATCTTCTGGCAAACTTAGTTGTATCTAGACTTTTATAATCGTTTAACTAATAGCTACAACTAAAATACATTTTTTTTAATTTCCAGCCACAATCCGACTCTCCGTTGGATTCGACGCCGTCCCTATATTTCGATAAACGGTTAGTATCATTTTATTATACGCTCGTTGTATGAGCGTTTGGGTTTTCGCGTCGTAGAGTTTTATCAACACTCAAGTGTTCATCAATGTTCTATACATTGATGTGACATACAAAAACGGAAACTAAACGTAAATCCAGGTTTGAAACGTCGCAGGAGTTGAAAGATGCTGGTGGGTCGAGTGAGTCCAAGCCACGCCCACTGCGCCCCATGTCCGAACCGCTTCCTAGAGCCCGTAACCGCCCCCAGAAATGGATGTTAGCACTACTGCTATACAATACTTGCGTCGCCCCAATGTCCACGTACTGCGCCGACACGTTGATACAATACGGAATGGACGCGGCAAAGTACAATGTCGTATCGAACCTTCTCGACTTCGTGCTTAGAGAGGTTATGCATAGGAATTTAGGCTTTGCGGACTATGCTCTTACGTATTTCAAACATCAACCTAAATATTCATGTTCAAGTATCAAAACTAGTTTGCTGCAGTATACCTTCTTCTAAATTCAATAGGGTAACCGTGATATAAATAAAACATAATCGGTAAATTTTTCCATTTTTATTTTTAATGAAAATAAGTTTTAAAAAATATTAAATGAAGCTAATTCGTTTACAGCTTTTAGCAAACATAGAGACAGATTACATGCATTATAAAATAAACTTATTCAAACAAAACGAGTTTTCACGGTTCAAAATGCGAAATATTTGTCTTATTGTCTTATTTTTAAACACGACTAGAACTTCTGAATGCTGCTGTAAAGCATCTGTGATCTGAGAATATATTTTGCTTTATAATAAAATGTTTTCCTTAATAGGCAAAACGAAAAATACACGTTCTATAAAAACCTGTCTGGGATTTGGCACATTTTTAAAAGGCGGGAGACGTGTTAAAGCGACTTGTAAGTGCATAGTTCTGCAAGGCGTTTACACTTTTCGTCAATTCGTTAGATGAGGCGTAGTGAGTGATGCCATTTTAGTTTTAGTATCCACTTCATATTGCAGAACTATGTATGTTTAGATGTAGACTACACTTCATATCATTTTAGTAATATTTCGGTAGGAATACTACAAAATATATGAGGCTGCTAGAGCCAGAGTGGCCTAATAACTAGAAATTAATAATGCGTAATTAAATTTAGGCGAAAAGGAATTTGTACTATTATCTGTGTAGGAATTATGTTAACGCTGTTGTTAGCAGCGATATCTTCCAGGTAACCTGAAGTATAGGAGAAATGAGAAATGAAATAATAAAAGACCTATTAAGTGGGTAAATGTTAGAATTAATAATTTTAGACTATAAAAATATAAATAACTCGAGTATAAAATTGCAGTAAGGCTACTCTGCCTCTAACGGCCTCAAACGACTCTAAACTTCTTGTTTTTTAAAATAGTCAATTTACAAATTTTCAGAGATCAACATGACACGACGTATGTCAAGAAGAAGAAAAGTTTCTTCTTCCACGACGACCAATAGTGATACTAATATAAGGTGAGTTACTACTGAAGAACACGTACTGCCCCGCAACTTCGTCCGCTTAGAAAGCAAGAAAGAAAGCCCTCAAAGATAAACCATTTTCTTACATTTCTTAATTTGCATAGAGGTGAATCCCACGCAGCATGATTATATAAAACTTCCTCGATAAATGGTCTATCCATCACAAAAATATTTTTTTCCATTCGAACCAATAGAGACAAGCGTGTGTAAAAAAAACTCTTCATCTTTAACTCTTTAGCTTGCTTCGATTCGAATCAAAAAGGTAAACCCTTCAGCTAAAAATGCCTCGGCGAAGGAAAGGAGTGACATGTTCGAAGTGACCAAGAAGAAAAACCAATTTTAATAATTCGTTTTAACACTCTTAAATTGAAAATGCTCACTGTGGAAAAACATGTATAAAGCTTTATTGTAATGTAATGTAAAAATTATTTTGTTCACAGGCTGAATAGCGTCAAAGTGCTTTAATAATACTAAATTATGTGTAGATGTATTCGTTTGATTAAAATTAATGATTGTGCTAGATTTGTGACATGGATTATTTTTTTCATGGTGATCACGATTTAAATGAATTATTTTCTGTAATAAAGTGTATGTTATATTTAAATTGTTTTTTTTTACATGATGTAATCTTTTCCGTGGCGAATTTCATTCGTTAATTCCGATGGTGATGTTAAATAAATAAAATTTATAAACAGTCTGATTATCGTAAGAAAGCTACTAGCTATATAGATATAAAACGTATATTAAATAAAATAGCCAACATCACGCGGTGTTCCCAGGCGGTCACCCATCCAAGTACTGACCGCGCCCGACGTTGCTTAACTTCGGTGATCGGACGAGAACCGGTGTATTCAACGTGGTATGGACGTTGGCGATAAATTGATCCTAAAACATAATCATGTTATACCCTCACTGTGAAGAAAGTACATCGTTTTAATTTGAAAATAACAATTTATACACTCTGTTTCACTAGTGTTAGCTTAAATCATACCCACGACATCAACGTTTTAGTTAATCTCTATAAACGCAGAAAATATACGACCAGATAGGTATATCCAATAGAGATCGTAATTTAGGTTCTTTAAACACTAGTGTAATGTATCTTTATTAAAGCTACGAATTTCATTATGTGAACATTATATGATAGTTAATTTAACTTAAGCTTTTTTTAAATAAAATGTATTTATTTTTGATTTTTTTAAGTTCATTTATGAACTTGACGTTAGCATTGAATGGATTGTGGATTCGATCCCCAGCGTCTTATCTATCGATGTATATTTTTCTGAAACATTCTGCACTTAGTCTGAAGAACTTGGATATTAAATAAGATGTTGGAATATCTAAATTCACGAACAACTGTCTACATATGACAAAACAAAGTGTAGTCTAATCGCGTTTAGTTTCAGTCTGTGGATTTCCGCAACGCCGGAGTTAATATTGAATTTGTTTAAATGTGTTATGACTTATGGTATTTCACATTCCATCAAGTAACCTCCACACTGATCTGTTCTGCTTTGTCATTAAGGAACAATAATAAATACAAAAGAACGACGTGAAGGAAATTGATAGTAATTAAAACACCTAAAAATCTCTAAACATTGGGGCCGCACCACCCGTTGTTCGAGCAACAGCAGGGATGTACTCTCACAACGCAGTAATTGTATGTTGTTATTGTAACCCAATAATTTCTATGCATGTGTCTGTAAATGTGTATTAAATTATTTTGCATTTTAATGAGAAAATAATAAACATGGTCTATAGGTGTTTTTTTTTATCTTTGGTTCTATATTTTGTTGAGAAATGATACATGAAAATGGTAGGAACTTCGTGGATGTTGCTATTTGATACAAACTTTCCACGAAGTTCCTTTAAGCGCTAGGATTTTATTTACTAATGATTCTATACATAAAAATAATAAGTCGCTTAACCTAGGAGTTACATTTATGAGAAGCTATTTTTTTTGGTCTATAGGGTTGAGAAGTCCTTAAATATTGTGAATAAATTTTTTTTGCCGCTTTTTTTTTTAAATTCTTAAAACAGAGATATAATCTGGTTCGCCTTATTCGATGTAATAATCGCCAACGTCCATACCACGTTGAATACACCGGTTCTCGTCCGATCACCGAAGTTAAGCAACGTCGGGCGCGGTCAGTACTTGGATGGGTGACCGCCTGGGAACACCGCGTGATGTTGGCTTTTTTTTACTTTTTATGATAATAAAAGTCACTTGAATAAAATAAAAGATGTTTCAGCCGAAGTTAAAAATCATTTTAAACTAAGTTTAACTAATATATCGCGTTTTAAACCGTTAAAGTGTTTTATTTAAATTAGTCGTGTTAGAATTAGTAATGGGCTGTAAAAGGTTTGATTTTTTTTTATTATATATTTCTATTGCTTTGACCTTAGTTGACTCACTTTACCCTCCGCATCCTATTCCTAATGCATATATTTTGTGACCACCTTGACCGCGTTTGAGCTTATAAACCCAACCACTTCAGACGTCATCGAACGTTAAATGAGTCAAAAGAAAGCCTTCAATTACACCTACTATCAAAACTCATCTTGTTCTCACTTAATCAAGCACTTGCTGGTAGGTGATATGTCCTAATCAAATAATATTTAAACAAACTGTGTTAACATATTCTAATTTTGGATGTCTATAAATCCACAGACTTAAACCGAAATGTGATTTAAGTTCACGGCTTTTTCATTTGAACGATGGTTGTGACGAGACCCGGAAGGAATTTTGATATTCCTACCCATTTAAGACCAGGCGAAGTCGAACATGATTTAGAAAAAAAAAAGATAGATAGGTACATATTAGACCCGTTAAGGATCGTACCCACGACCCATTCATACATACACATGCCATACATTGCCACTATTACACCAACGAGCTTCATTTCTGAATCTAGTAGTAGTGACACAGTGTTGAATTTTAAATCAAATGCATATTTAATGAAGCATTATTTGAATTAATTAGTTACCAACGTTTTTAGTACCTCTAACGAAGTCCTGCCAACAATTTACCATCAAATATAGAAATGTCTCGATAGTTCGAGTTTGAATCTATCGAGAACCCATAGTAGCGTAACACTGATGAGTTTCGCCAGTCGAAGAAAGGCCTCGCTTTCGTTGTTTACGGGGAGAAATCTTTGACCGGTCGGCCTGCCATGCCAGTACCGCGCGCTGCGTCCCCGGTTCCGCTCGTGTGTTCCGACTAGCATAATCACATAACTTTTACCGCCCCAGAAAAGTAAAAAACAAGTGCTGTGTTGTGTTGTGTGTGCATTTTTATTTAACAGCTATAACGTGTTTTTTGGATCGTCAGACGCTGGTATGTTTATTGTTTGGCGTATAATAGCGGTATTATTGATTCCACAGGTTATGTAGGTCTGTCTGTTGTCGAGGTTTCTTAGAATAGGGAAGAATGCGTATATTTAAGTAGATCCGTGTCGTTCAAGCTTTGAAGTGGTGAAGTTACTGAATATTTTTAACGCTTTTTCCTTCTAGGAAGAAGCTTGATACCGGTAGAAACTCAAAGTTTCTTAAATATAAACGCGTATTTAAAATCCTTACTAAGTATAAAAAGAACGTAACATTTATAACTTGATACCGATAAAAATATCTCCATAAACAACCAAATTATAGCTTCGAACTTGACATTTACAAAATATAGTTGAAACAAATATTCTAACGTTTTCCTTACGAGAGAGTTCAACGAAGGCGTTGCGGTTTCATCAAATGTAGTCTGTGATATTTCTTTCGTTTATTGCTTCCGCGTTTCTCCTAGATGAAATTGTTGCATTTCTTACGTTATGTATGTGACAAGTCTGTTTACATACTATAACCGAGCAATATGCCAAGAGACAAACATACACAAAACTAGATACTGTCTATAGTTTACGCGAGTAGATACATTTAAATAAAACACTTTAAGGGTTTAAAACGCGATATATTAGTCTCCCCGTGACCACGGCTGCTGCAAAGCATCCGAAACGTCGGGCCGAAGTTAAGAATCATTTTCAAATAAGTTTAACTAATATATCGCGTTTTAAACCGTTAAAGTGTTTTATTTAAATACACAAAACTATGAAGTATCGTGTTCATAATAGGTACACTATTAGTTAGTGCGTAAGATTTTTCTCTTTTATACGGTATTTTTGTTTTGTGGTATGCTATAAATAATAAATAAAAATAGAATTAGAATAAAGAATTTATAACTTATCTGAAACGTGTTGGATTTCGTCTGGAAATCTGGATATGAAATGGGCGGTAGGTAATATCGAAATTCAGTCCGGATCACGAACTGCTGCGAAAAAAAAGCTTTGAAGTTCCATAGCGTTTCGTTTCAGTCCTAATTTCCGAAAATCCAGGCCGAAAATAAAAGATGTTATAGGGAGAAATCTCCCTATAACATCTGTTGGGGCTAACAAGTCAACTCCGTGCTTGTGTGTCCCCCTCTATCATAAGCAATAGGCATGTATCTAAGCCAAATCTGAAAAGTAGAGTATATGTCGAGAAGTTCTTTCTGATCGTGTACTTTTAGGAAATGGTGTAGATTTTTTCGATAATAAGAATTAAAAACTAAGAACAGTTTTTTTTATGATCTGACGCAATAATGTGGCGTATATCTAACAACAATATTATGTGGCTAATATATTTAGGTATCTTGACAATTGAATATTAATACGAAACAAATATTGTTCCAGTTGCTAGTTGAGTAAATAAGAAACAGTAGCTTCAAACCGTTGTTACAGATTAAATACAACACCTTTTACGGTTTAATACGCGTAAATTAGTTAATTATGTAACGCAGTCGAAGTTAATGCTTTAATATTGTTTGTGTTTTGAACCGTTAAATATGTTTCATTTAATTAGTAGCATTGGTACTGTGTAACGCGATTATTTTTTTCACATCTAAGAGGATTATGCAATGATAATTGGCTTCACGAAATTGGCTCTATCTATGTTTAAATGTCTAATCCTATAATGAAATGAGAAGCTTATAAGAAACTGGCTGTGTCAGCGGCTTCGTGCGCGTAGAATAGTTATTTTGGGCATCCAAATCGCTCCTATTAGTCACAGCGCTATGTTTCAAAGCGTATTTCCTTATATATAGCCTTCCTAAATAAATGCTCTAACCAAACAAGAAGAATTTTTTAATTTCGAACCAGTAGTTCCCGAGATTAGCGCGTTCAAACATACAAACTCTTCAGCCTTATATATTAGTATAGATTACTTTTGTCTTTAGTTGGTACAAGAATCTAAATAAACTCTACAATATCTATAATAAGTAGTCATTGATTGAACTACGAATAACAGATTAAGAGTACGTGGGACTCGTTTAACATGATTCTTTATATTCACATTAAGTAGTTAGATGTCTGTGACCAAATCAAGAGACCGAAAGAAACGTTTTACCGGGACGCGAACCCAAAACCATAAATTTGACTCTAGAGCCTCGTTCGCTGTTAATTATCTATTGACGATATTTAGAATACTAACTGGGTAATCCTACATTACGTATGAATGAGAAGTAGGACTGAAAGTTAACTGACTGTACAGTTACAGTAAGAATTGCCGTGATTCCTATTCAGGAATGTGAACCGTTTAAATTACTAGCAATTTATCGTTATTTGTATGTTTAGCCATATGTTATATACCTAGTTATAAACATAGTGATCGTTTGTTATTGAAGTGGAACCTTTAGCGGCGTGTAATAGAAATAATGCCTCATCCATCAGACGGATTTTCGATCAGGCTTTACTTTTATTGGATGGATTGAATTGAATTATTTTCATGATAGGACAGACAATCATTGCGCTGTCGACTTATTTGGCGTATATTCGGGAATCCATATCCATATTATTAGCCATACCTGTAAGAAAATGAAATGGGACGAATACACTTCTGTGTCCGTTTCAGTAAACAGTTTTATTAACGGGCAAAAACTTAAACATCTGTGTCTGATCAAAATAATTGATTGTTTCCGTGGAGCATATAAGGTCTGTAAATCATAAATACTGTCTGTAGTTTACGCGAGTAATACACATTGAAATAAAACACTTTAACGGTTTAAAACGCGATATATGTTATGTTTCGTAGTTAGAAATCATTTTCAAACAAATTTAACTAAAATATATCGCGTTTTAAACCGTTAAAGTGTTTTATTTAAATAATATAAGGTTATACTCTAATAATAATATAACAATTGAAATACTTCTTTTATCGGGTTTCGTTTTAACATTATTTGTTATTTATTTTATTACAAGCCTTTTGAATGATTATATTGTTTCGTTGTCGACGTGTGAACGAGTGCTTGAAAATTCCAATCAATTGAATACAATACACCTTATCATGTATGCAACTCACAGAACTATTCGGTTTACATAACACTGTACAGACTCAAATACTTGACATATTTTATTGTCTGTTCGTCTCGTAAGCGTAGGTGACGCGTTTATCATCCGGGTTCAGATCTCGGTAATAAAAGTAACGTTAAAACACATTATATATCAATGCGATTTATTATATATATATAAATTATATTTATGTACGTTGTGATTCTTATTAAGTAACTTGCCATTACGACAATATTGACTTCTTCAATAGTAGTATAAAAAATATTGAACTAGTCTCGAAATTCGTGTGATTATAAAACACTTTAACGATTTAAAACGCCGTATATTAGTTAAACTTTTTAATTATTTCAACTACGGCCCGACGTTTCGGATATTTGAAGCATGCGTGGTAGTGTAATTATCGAATTCTTTTTATGATAAAGGAGATAAGTATGGTATCACTTGATGGTAGCGGATACGTTGTCGATCTATTATAACTTTGGATATTCGTATAAGTTTACCGTGCGACTCACCGACTAGACAAGTTTCTGTAGCTTTCTTATTGACCTATTTTACAGTAGTTTCCTTTATAATATAATTAATAATGCCTTGTGTGAATGTGTAAGGAGAATTATAGTGCACAATTATCGTGGGTTCTATAATTTATAGAATATACTTTTTTCTCTGTAGTTTACGCGAGTAGTACACATTTGAATAAAACTCTTTAACGGTTTAAAACGCGATATATATTAGTTAAAGTTAAAAATAGTTTTCAAATAAGTTTATCGCGTTTTAAACCGTTAAAGTGTTTTATTTAAATGTGTACTTTATTTATTCTCTTTAAAATTTTGAAAAATTATTTGGATTTGTGAAAAAATGTTTGTCATAGTGTTGAAAGAAAGCTATACAGATCTAGAGTAAGGCACACAGCTGTATAGATTTATACCTGCCTCCATAGCTAATGTTAGTTCACGCGAGCATTGAAAGTGTTCAGAGAAAGTGACCTTATCCTACTTGTAGACGTCGCTTAAAACTATTCAAACAATTAAAACTTGTTTCTTTATTAAACAGATTAGCGCTAGCTTATAGAAATGTAACAGTGATGTCTTACAGAACATAGTTTTTTATCTATTAAAATTAAAAGCAACTTAATAAATTATAGGTAAGTTTGTAAGTATACATATTGAAATAAAACACTTTCAACGGTTTAAAATGCGAAATGTATTGACGTAATCCTTAATTTTATAGTTTTGGATGCTTTGCAGTCGTGGTTCCACCGTGGACACGGCTGCTACTGAGCATATAAAAAAACTGGTAGTAGTGTGACAAGGCTTATTCTAAATATCATTTAATAGAGATATTTTATAAAATCTTATCACTCTTATAAAATGTACCGTTCCTTTAATAGTCTTTTAATCTGCTAAACAAATAATCAATAATATTATTCATAAAAGCGAGAACAGAACATCGATAAGTATATTTTATTATCAAATTGGATTTTATTATATTACAATCACTATTTACATAATAACATGAAACACAAGTAAATTATTCTTAGTTTGTGTGTCAAGAACGGGAAAACACACAGATTTCTCGTTTCGTACGTTAAGGTAAAGACGTCTATAGTTCGCTTGATTTAATTATCACCATAATATAAATATAGGACCCCTATTTTAACAAAAACAAAGTTTCTTTGTTCATCGTTACAGCCATAAAAATCAGGTAGAGTTTTATAGAGATTTTTTGTCGCAAAACAAATTCAAGATAACATGACGTTTACCGTCCGCGGGTATTAATTTCATACAACGAACTTTACATTAAAACTTGCTAAAATGGTTTTATGTTTAGAATAAGCGAATCAGTTTTATTTATTTCGTTCTTGCAAGTAAATCTTAAAATATTCACATAGGTATATTATCGTGGACTTTTTTTAACATCATTTTCATCTAAATAAAACACTTTAACGGTTTGTTTTATTCAAGTGACATTATTT